TGTATTTTGGTTTTCAAGACAGGATCACTCTGTGTAGCCTTGGCTCTCTGGGACTCTCTTTGTACACCAGGCTGGCCTCAAAGTCACAGATATCCACCTGCCTCTGCCTCCCCAAGTCCTGGGATTAAAGGTATGTGCCACTATTCCTGGCTTCTGCTTTCATTTTTATGACCTTCTATAATGAATTGTGAATAATTTTTTTTTTTTGAGACAGGGTTTCTCTGTGTAGCCTTGGCTGTCCTGGACTCACTTTGTAGATCAGGCTGGCCTCAAACTCACAGAGATCTGTCTGCCTCTGCCTCTGCCTCCTGAGTTCTGGGATTAAAGGCACATGCCTGGCTTTTAAAATTTTTCTTAAACTATTGATTGCAGAAATACATATGAATGATGTCATTTCAGAGATCACTCCTGGCCACTGACACCCTCTGGGTAGATTCTCTTATCATACTGACTAATGAAATTTGGGGTTTAGCTACTGTGGTGGCTTTAGCCATAAGCGTGGGTACTTGAACACTTGGTCTCTGGCTAGCAGTGCTATTTGGGGAGCTTGTAGAACCCTTAGGAGGTGGAGCCCTGCTAGAGGAAGTACATCACTGGGGACAGGCTTCGAGAATTTGTAGCCTCATTCATGGCTCACTCTTTGTTTCCTGTTCCAGCTGCCTGCTGCCATACCGGCCTCTGTCATTATGGAGTCTCTCTCTGAACCCATAATCCAAAACAAGCTTTTTCTTCCGTGTGTCACTTCCAGTCATGGTGTTTTATCCCAGTAAGGAAGGTTAACTAAGACAGCTATACCTCGCTTTTCAAGGAAAATAAACCTGGCAGAAATATTTCTGCCTCAGTTTCGTTTCTGTTGCTGTGACAGATAACCCAGACAAAAAGTAGCAAAGAGAAGGGAGGGATTTATTTAGCTCACAATCTCAAGCTGCAAGCCACCTTTTCAGGGAAGTCAAGGCAGGAACCCAGGCAATTCATCACATTACATCCACAGTCAAGAGCAAAGAGATCTAACACTTGCTCTCCTTTCTCATACTGTTCAGAACCCTGTACCTAGGGAATGGAGCCACCCACATTGGGTTGTATCTTCCTACATCCATTAACAAACTAAACAATTCCCCACAGACATGCCCAATGACTAACATGATGTAGACAACTCCTCCTTAAGACTCTCTTCCCCGGTTATTCCAGGTTGTGTCAAGCTGGCAGCTAAAGCCAGCCAACAAGCTGTTCACTTCATATTGTTATTGTAAAACCCTAAGCTCATTTCCCATTGTTTACTTATAATGGGATAGAATCCAAAGTCCTCTGTGTGTAGTTTAATTCATCACTATGAAGGGAATACTTTATGTCCCTTAGGTTGCCTCTGCCTGTTATCTCATCACACCAAATCTTCCTTTGTATATGTCGGCACGAGCCTTCTATGGCTTCTGTAACAGATTACCACAATTTTAGCAACTTCACTCATTATCTTACTGCTCTGTGGTTTGGAAATTCACCGCACGTTCTAGTTTCCTTTCTGTTGTAAAATATTCTGACCCAAAGCAACACAGGGAAGAAGGGGTTTATTTGCCTTTGACAGTTGATCATCTCAGGGCAGGAACTCAATCAGAAGCTTGAAGTAGAAACCATGGAGGACCGTGGTTACTAGCTTGATTGCTAGCTTATTCTCTGGCTCACAGCTACCTTTTTATACACCTTAGGTGCTCTTGGCTGAGGAATAGTGCCTCTCATAGTGGACTGGGCCCTCCTTTATCAATTAACAATCAAGAAAATACCCATATTAACCAGATCCAAAGTCTATCTTTTCTATACAATTAGAACTGGCATTGGAACCGACATTGTGAAGGGTCCCCATTGAATTTTACACTTTGGGTATAGAATATATTTCATGTACTGATAGTTAATTTGGGTGTGTGATGTTTTTATTTATTTGCAAGGTTTTCTTAATAACAAAACACATATATTTTTTTAAAGGGACAATGCCTCATAGAAATGTCCACAAGGCCAATCTGGTCTGGACAATTTGTCAGTCACGGTTCCCTTTTAAGGTATGTAGGCTGACAAATTAACTAGCACACGTATCTTAATGGGCAACATTCAGGTGCTGTTGAAGGAGGACTGCTTTCTTGCTTCTGCAGCTGCCCACATTGTCTTGGGAGACCCTTCCATCTTCAAAGCCAGCAGCAGCCCGTGGAGTGTTTCCCAAGACACCACTGAATGCTTCCTTAGCCTCCGAGAGCCCTATGATGACACAGGGCCCACATGGATGATTCAGAATTATCTTCCCACTTCAAGGTTCTTTCTCCTTCATATCCAGAAAGTCTCATCATGATCACGCATGGATGTATATTCCTATCCACCGTAAAAGGCTCCTTCTGTATGGAGGACCCACTTCCCTGCTTAAAAGACTCTGAGGCCATTCTCAGAATTCCCCGAGAGTTTGCACAGAGTCACTGCTTCCTTGACAAGGCCTTTTCCTCCTTCAAACCCAAGGAGGCCATTTTTTTTCTCTGCCTCCTCAGGCCCACACACATACATGGACCGTGATACTTATTTTGTACTATAAGTGATTTGTCTTCGGGCGCCTCGCTCCAGCTAGATGGTGAGTCATGATGTCTTACTCATCCTTGCTGCTTCAGGAACCTCACCATAAAAGTTTGTGGGGAAGAAAACTTAAGGTGATATTTTAATGCGGGAAGAGACCTCAGGTGGAGGCAGAGGTAAGACCAATAAATTTGTGGAGCCTCTGTTTGGACCATAACGGTTGAATGACTCTGACAGCCTTTTATTACTTATGGCCACATAATCAACCAACTCCTATTCTTTTAACCATTCCAGGGAGCTATCACAGCCAATTTATAATCAACCATTTGCACCCTAACACTGATTTTAACTATAATGTGATTGGCCATGGAAACTTTCAAAATTGTAAGTGTTCCCCTGGGTTTAGCTAGAAAAGACAAGTGGTTCCCAAGTGCTAGGATGGATTTTAAGTTAGGCAAATGCTACTTACTGTCTACATATTTTCTGAATTCAAACAAACACACTTGCCTAAGAAAGCTAACCGAGTTGGTCAGAGATTGAAAGCAATTAGGTTACCACAGTAGTCACTGGTACCTAAGTGTCTGGGGGTTCTTGAAAAAAAAAAAAAAAACAACAAAAACAAAAACTCATTGAAAGTTCAAATTAAACAAGAGCTATATTGCTTAAATAGCCTTAAAAATTGAATTATAATCCAAGGGAGGGAGTGCTTGAATAAATTAAGGTCACATGGGGGTGGGAGATCTATTTTTAAAGTAAATGGTCTGTCATGTATATCTAGTGTCACTAGCAAAACCATGGGGTACAGAAATACAAACATAGAAACTCCCATAAAACCTCTGTGCTCTGCAGCTGAGCTTCAAAGACCCAATTTAAGCAGGAAGGAGAGATTAGCACCTGTTTTGTCACTTGAATACAAAGTCCACTTTGTTGTTTTTCTCCACAAGTAATAGTAAAACGCTCTTAGTCCTGAAGGCTGAATTTAGTTAATGTAAGGTTGTGAGAACACAGGTTTGCTAAGCGTTGTCAAGGGCACCGGGTAGTTACATTACATTGCATTTCCCAGCACTGAGAATACTCTGGTAATTTTAGAACCAGATGGAGGCCCATTTATCTATAGGAGATTCCACAGTCACACGAGGTAAGCAAAGTCTCAGCACCCTGCTGAGATCAGAAAGACAAGGCTAAGAAGAGATTTCACTTATCTGTATCTAAAAAGCATGAGGTGTAGCTATATGGAGTAATCATGGCAGATTTTAAAAGTGGTGCATCACACAGAACCAGGAAGCATAACCATTTGTGTGCTGGGGTATTCAACCTTGTAAATATTTTAATAGATGTATCTGGGTAGCTGTAGAGGAAACCAGTAAAGTTGCAGTAGAAGGTACAGATTGCATATTTTGTGCATTAGCACAATGTCTGCAAACTACCTTGCTCTAATTTAGTCTCTCCTGAAAATAATTCTTTTTCTGCCTTGCATATTTCATCCTGAACATTTTACTATGTTGAGTATAGTAGCAACTAAAAAAAAAAAAATGTGTTTCATCTAAAAAAAAAAAAAAAAAAGAAGTGAGAAATCTTCAAAAACCACTGCGTTTCTGCAGTGCCGTTTCCAAGTTCTTAATATAAGGCTAGAGCAAAATAAAGATTGCTGCAGTCACCAAACTTTGAACAAGAGTCTTTCAAAACTATGACAACTGAGCAATAATATTTTTTACAGTTTGAGCCGCGAATGCACCTGCAAACATTTTCTTTTCTTTTTTCCAGGTTGCATTATAAACCTTGGAATTTGCGACCCCAGCCATTTTAAAGAGGGAGACAAGCAACGCTCAGGTGTAAAAAGGATTGACTCTGCATCTTTACTCTTAGTCAAAGAAGCACGTTTCCTCATTCCAGGGGACCAGGCAATTTCGTGTCAACTTGCTATGGTGTCAAATGCGACAAACTCTTAGAGCTCCAGTGACGAGGAGGCAGCTCTCAGCACCGGCTGCTTCCCACACTCCCGCAACATCAGGACGCAGCGCCCTAAAAGCTCACGCCGCCTTCCGGGCAAAGGCTAGTACACCCCTTCCTCTGTCTGGGGAAACTGAGGCACCGTGAGGAGAACGATCCACAGCTCGGCGAAGGCCCCGTCCCTGTGTGGCGTCCTCCTTCTCCCTGGAGACTGGGGAGGCTCAGGGCCAGCGTGCTGTATGGACAGCGCGCTCCTAGCCCTCAGAAGGCTGTGGCATGAGCCTGGGACGCGGCTGTCCCCAACCCGCGGGTACCCGCCCTGCATGTATTTCCAGCATCCTGCGACCAGCCACGAGTTGGGACCGCAGGGCATCTAGGCGCGTAGCTCGGGCGGCCCAGGCATCCTAAAGTTCGGGAGCTCGGGCGGCCACTGACCACAGATCCGCGCGGGTCTCCCTCCTACCGTACCCGCCGCCTAGGCTCGCCCACTCGGTGCCCTCACTGACCTGACACCGCTGCGCCACTCCGGTGGTCGCCGTGCGCCGCTCGCCATGGCCACCCGGAGAGCTCTGCGGCACCCAGCGGGTACCAACCTCCACCGCCTGCGCCTCCTCTCTCTGCGGGCTGCTAGCCCCGCCGCCCGGAGCCGGAGCTTCCCACCTACGGGCGCCGGAGCCGGCGAGAGCCGAGCATGCCCAGTGCGGCTCCCTCCCGGCGGCGCCGAGGCCCGGTGCGCTCTGCAGAGCCGGGTTTTCGGGGCAGCCGAGGCGGAGGCGGGCCGCTGGGGGCGGTGGGCTCCTCCCACCAGGGATGGGCCCGGCGGGGTGCTGGGGAGCACCACCCTCGGCGAGCCCCGCCGCTGGGCGGGACCCGCGCTGCTCCGGCGTGCCGCGGTGCCTTACCCCAGCTCTTCCAGAAGGACCTTGTGGTGCTGGGGCGGCGTGACTGCTAATTGTCGGGGGGCAGGGCGCCGCAGGCGTTGTCACCAACTTTCCTGCGCGTCGCGTCGCAGTGGCGTTCAAGGACACGCAGGGAAAGGCGTCTTCGGATACCATTCTGGATGCCACCGGCAACCAGCCCACCTACACATTAACCTACCTCGTCTCTAAGGCTGTCTGTGACACCACCTCAGGAGCAGGGGAGCCGGGGCCTTCCAGGCGGCCGCGCTGTCACAGCTCAAGCACAGAGGACGCCCCGGAGCGACACGGATAAGACGCAGTGGGGCGCTTGCGGATGGCCTCTGAGTGGTGGGGTTTCGAGGGGACTTATAGAACTGCCCCTTAGAATTAGTTGCAGTTTCGACGGCCTCTCTAGCGAGCATTTGTTGTTTGGGTGGGGAAAATAAGTACTCTAAAAATATTTTAACACCTACATTAAGTTTTCTGTGCACAATCCTGCCATATTAGTGGGTCCCTCCTCCCAACACGCCCCCAGTTCCCCGCCACACATTTCTTCTAAAGAGAGCTATTCAGTTTCTGGGGCAGTGACCAGGCTCCTCCTCCCGGGCTCTTCTTTGCTGCCCCTCCGGCCACGCCCCACACTAGGGCTTTTTTTTTTTTTTTTTAACTCCAGCCACCACCACCACCTCCATATTGGTCATAGGCTGTTGGTAAAACACGGAAAGATGGATTGAGCAAATTAACGCTCCTAAAGTGGCTCTGGCTGTCAGATCCGGTGTGTTTCATTCTGAGTCAGGGACAGCTGTCAAGAAGACAGGAGGCTATTTAAGTGATCCCTGTCCACCTCCTTCTCTATGACTGGCAAATCCAGAGGCAAAGTATTGCCTGTGACCTCAAGACCAGAGCTCGGACCCGCAGAACTGGCTCGGGACCCAACTGAGCATGCTCTGGACAGTGCCAGACTGCTGCACGTGGCTATCTTTGGCATCTGGCGGCCCAAGGTTGAGGAGCACCAAGAAATCAGGGCTCAGGAGACCTGAGGGAGCTGGACTTAGGGCGAGCAATAGCATGGACACATGGGAAGAACGCTGGTGCTTAGGGTCTCCTGTGCCCCATGGATATGTGGGTTCTGGTTTCTAAGCATATCAAAACCCATTCCTTCCCTAAGAGCCTGATAATAGAAAGCATACTTGAACATTAGTTTTCATAGCGCCTTAGCTCATAGAACCTCTCTGCTTCCTCTAAAAAGCCCAATCTTTTCAACTTATTTAGTAAGCATTCTTTATGATTGCAGCTGAGAACTACACGGAATCTATCTCCCTTTGTTCAAGTAAGTCATAGAATATTCTTGTAAAGCATTTTTGTATTCACTTCGTCTCTATTTCTTATCCTCCCCACTCCTTCATCAATGTCATGGAACCTGCAGGACACTCCCATTCTGTCTTAGAAATACTCGTGGCACTGTGCTTGTGTGTGAGAGAGGCTTTCCTTTAAACCCTCAGTCACAGAAGACTGAAGTGGGAAAAGGATACAGGGAAAAGAGAACAGATTTAAGATGAATAAACTCAAGGAGAAAGAGGATAAAGGGAGTAGGAGAAAGGGAGGAGGGAGAAGAGAAGGGAGATGGGGAGACTGCCTCTCACTGAGTTTAAAAAGTTGAATGCCTGTGCTGTTGGTGTTCAGTTCAGGAAGTTGTCTCCTGTGCCAATGAGTTCAAGGCTCTTCCCCACTTTTTCTTCTAAGCGGTTTAGTGTGTCTGGTTTTATGTTGAGGTCTTTAATCCACTTGGACTTTAGTTTTTTGCAGGGTGATAAGTGTGGATCTATTTGCATTTTTCTACAAGTAGACATCCAGTTAGACCAGCACCATTTGTTGAAGATGCTGTCTTTTTTTTTCATTGAATGGTTTTGGCATCTTTGTCAAAACTCAGATGTCCATAAGTGTGTGGATTTATGTCAGGGTCTTCGATTCCATTGATCCACCAGTCCGTTTCTATGCCAGTACCATGCAGTTTTTAGTATTGTTGCTCTATAGCACAGCTTGAGATCAGGGATGGCAGGTAAATGGTGGGATCTGAAAAAGATCATCCTGAGTGAGCTATCCTAGAAGCAGAAAGAGGCATATGGTATATACTCACTCATATAGACATATAATATAGGATAAACCTACTAAAGTCTGTACACCTAAAGAAACTAGTCAAGAAGGAGGACTCTTGCTAAAATGCTCAATTCCTATCCAGAAAGGCAAAGAGGATGGACATCAGAAGAAGGAGAAAAGAGGGAATAAGTCAAGAGCCTGACACAGAGGACCCCTGAAAGGCTCTGCCCTGCAGATTATCAATGCAGATGCTGAGACTTATGGGCAACCTTTGGGCAGAGTTCAGGGAATCTTAGGAAAGAAGTGGGAAACAGTAAGATCTAGAGAGGACAGGAATTCCACAAGGAGAGCAACAGAACCAAAAAAATCTGAGCACAGGGGTCTTTCCTGAGACTGGAAGTCCAATCAAGGACTATGCATGGAGATAACCTAAGACCCCTGCAAAGATGTAGCCCATGGCAATTCAGTATCCAAGTGGGTTCCATTGTAATAGGAACAGGGACTGTCTCTGACATGAACTGATTGGCCTGCTCTTTAATTACCTCCCCTGAGAGGGAAGCAGCATTACCAGGCCACAGAAGAAGACAATGCAGCCACTCCTGATGAGACCTAATCGACTAGGATCAGAAGGAAGGAAAAGAAGACCTCCCCTATCAGTGGACTTGGGGAGGGGCATGCATGCAGAGGGTGGAGGAAGGGAGGGATTGGGATGGGGTGGGGGGAACCACAGGGGGGATACAAAGTGAATAAAGTATTAAAAAAAAGTTGAATGCCCCAGTGATATTTGTCAAGATTCTAGGAAATAGCCTGAGTGAGAGTCAAGTGAGAGTCAAGAGGCCTTCAAGTCAGCCTCTTGGCTTGAGCCAATCCTAGTTCAGCTTCAGTGTGGTTGGGAGTTTACCTCCTGGAAGGATGGTTATGTTGTGCTTCCCCTTTGAATCCTAACTTCCTGGGGCCATTTTAATTCACCCTCTGGGTTTATAGAATCTGAGATTGGTTGGGTCTAGAAAGATGCCCTGGATCTTGCTCCGTTCGCCACTGACATGAGTATCACAAACAGTGAAGCCTGGGAAAGGTGGGCAGGATGTCTCTTTGGCAGCTATCTTGGAACTTTTGTTTGAAGCTGTCTCCCCCGCAGTCTACCATGTGTGGCATTGGCTTAGCTCTTAAATCCCTGGGACCTTTCTTCCACATCCTGTTTATTTGTGTTCTCTTCTTTGCCCCAACCTATTATGGGTGTTCTCTGGGCTTTCTCCTGCTGCCCCATGATCTCTCATCCTTCGGAAGATGGTCAGGGCCAACCTGGGTTACTTGGCCATATCCAATTTTTTCAGGTGGTTCAAACACCTGTTTTGATTGGTCAGTATCTGTCCATATATGTCAATACGTTATATCATCTTTGTCCCTAACTGTATTTTTTTCTTTCTCTCCCTAATTTCAGACTTTTATATGCAATCTAACAATACAGCACAATTGGTATTCCTCAGGAAACTCAAACCCAGTATGTGCTGCACAGAGTCTGTGAGCCGTGGCTGCCAGTGTTTTCTAGCAAGGCTGCTGGTACCTCCACTCAAGCCAGAGATCACAAATCTGAAAATTCTATATCTAGCCACCTGGCTTCCTTCGTCAGCCTGCTGGTCACAGGTGCTCCCCACCTGCCTGTGGGTATCTCTGAATAGCTCCTGTCCCTGGTGTCCCCACCTACACTGCCCTCTTCAGTCCTCCCCCTCATCACTAGAAATCATTAACTATAGTGCAGTGATCTGCTAAAAAAGGCTCCACGGTGTTCTTTGATGCCTCCTCCTCCTGCCTTCTTAGATTTTCCCTCTTCGGCAAATTATATCACAACGTGTGCCTCAACCATGAGGTATGCTTCCAGCCAGAGTTCTCTGACATCCAGTATCCTAGCCAATCCAAATGACCCATCGTGCAAAACCGACAGACACTTCCACAGGCTTGTCACTGCTTTTGTTCTGTCATCTTACTTTACCTGCCAGATATTAAGCATTCGAGATTGTGTTCAGGCTGGGCACACTCTGGCCTTTCTGCTGTAACTTCCACTTGTATACTTTATTTATGCTTTGCCTCTGACCTTGAAAATCTTTTTTTTTTAACTGTCTTCACTGCAGTGTTGGAAACTTGGCAGCAAGGGCTGCCCCTCAGCCATCTGTGTTTTCATTACCAACAGAAGTTGACCTGATAGATGAATGATAGACACGTGTATTGATATAATATTGAAAGTTTGTTCCTTAAAAAAATTCATTTTGAAATGTTTACATAGATTGCAAATAACATGATACCAGAACAAAGTCACACCTGTGCCATCTGAGGGACATCTGTGAGAACTTGGGCTTGACCTCCCTACTCACAGTGAATTTTCTTCACCTTCAGAAGTCAGGGATGCCTTGCGATCCATCTGGTGTACTTGTTCCATTGGCATGAACAAGCACAGCATTACTAATTAACCCACAAATTCTGTTGTTTTCCATTATGCTGCTTTCTTCTGGCAGTGGAGTTACAATGCTCCAATTGTCTGAAGGTCAGTTCTTAGAATATATTTTTTTTTTCCTCTTTAGAGCATGGTTCCCAGAAAGGCAAACTAAGCATTTGGGAATTAATATGATTTTAATACT